CGCCACCGAAAAGGCCCTAGCCCTGGTAGCGGTGAGCCTGGACTCTTTGGGGCCTGGAATCACTAGCCGGTGTTGTGCTCCAGACCGTAGTGCTCTCTGGGGTAAGTGTGGGGAAAGGCGGTCCCTCAGGTATGTCAGACCCTGGCCATAAATGGCTTTAAAGGTAAGTACCAGCACCATGAAGCAAATTTGGTATGCTATTGGCAGCCAGTGCAGTGCATTCAGCGCAGGCTGGATGTGTTCCCATCTAGCGAGACCCATCAAAAGCCTGGCCACCGCATTCTGCACTAGCTGCAGCTTCCGGATTTGCAACAAGGGCAGCCCCATGTAGAGAGCATTACAGTAGTCTAATCTCGAGGTGACCATCGCATGGGTCACTGTAGCCAGGTCGTTGTGATCGAGGAAGGGAACCAACTGCTGAATCAGCCGGAGGTGGTAAAAGGCCGACTTAGCAGTGGCTGCCACCTGGGCATCCATAGTTAAGGAGGGATTCAGGAGCACTCCCAAACTCCTCACCGCAGGTGCTTGCACCAATGTTGCCCTGTCTAAGGTTGGGAGAGGGGACCCCATCCCCAACCCACCCTGACTCAGGCACAAGATCTCTGTCTTCACCAGGTTAAGTTTCACCTGGCTCGGTCTGAGCCAACCAGCCACGGCTTGCAATGCCCAGTTCAGATCTTCTGGGCTGGAGTATGACCAGCCACCCAACATCAGATAGAGCTGGGTGTCATCTGCATACTGGTGGCACCCTAGACCATACCTCCAGACAATCTGGGCAAGGGGACGCATATAGATGTTAAGCAATAATGGGGAAAGCACCGCCCCCCTGAGGCACACCGTACTCAAACGGATGTCTCCGGGACTGCTGTTCCCCTAGCACCACCCTTTGTCCCCAACCCTGGAAAAAAGAAGCAAGCCATTGTAAGGCAAGCCCCTGTATCCCTACGTCGGCGAGGCAGTGGGTCAGCAGCTTTTGGTCGACCGTGTCGAACACTGCCAACAGGTCTAACAACAACAGTACCACTGAACCGCCCCAATCCAGATGCCTCCAGAGGTCGTCCATAAGGGCGACCAGTGCTGTCTCCATCCCTGGCGAAAGCCAGACTGGAAAGGGTCTAGGATGAAAGCGTCATCCAGGAAGTCCTGTAACTGTATCACCACTGCCCTCTCAATTAATTTGCCCAAATAGGGTAAATTGGAAACCGGCCGATAGTTGGCCAATTCGGCCAGATCCAGAGTTGGTTTTTTCAAGAGGGGACGGACCATCGCTTCCTTGAGTGCCCCTGGAAACTGCCCCTCAGAGAGGGCCTTGTTGACAATCTCCCTTAGGGCACCTCGAAACCCCTCATGGCCCACTTTAATGAGCCAGGAAGGGCAGGGATCAAGGCTGCATGTGGTTGGGTGTACAGACGCAAGCAAACTGTCGACTTCCTCCAGGCTGGGAGTGGCAGGGAGCAGATCAGGAGGGTTTAAATGGCTTAGAGGGGGCACTTCACCCCTTCCTTTCTGCCAGCCGTGGCTTTCCCCAGCCAGCAGGAAGGAAGGAAATGCCACACAGGGAGCATTTCACCCCCTCCTGTCTACAGGCTTCAGAAACCCCAGGGGGCACTTCACCCACTCCTGATCGCTGGCCATGGCTTTCCACATCTGACAGAAAGAAAGGGGTGAAGTGCCCCCTGGGAAGCACTTCACCTCCTTCCTTTTTCCTGGCTGGGGAAAGCTGCAGCCAGCATAAAGGAGGGGGTGAAATGCCCCCTAGGAGGCACTTCACTCCCATCCTTAACCCTTTGGTTTTGCTCCCCGCCCCTTTGAAGCAGCAGGGAGCAAAACTAGAGGCTTAAATAGCTCCAAGCCATTTAAACCCTTCAAGATCTGCTCCCTGCTGCTCTGAGGGGGGAGCAGAACCAGAGGATTAAATGGAGCCATTTAACTCTCTGGTTTTGCTCCCCAACACTTCAAAGCAGCGGAGTGCAGAACCGGAGGGTTTAAATGGGTCAGATCCATTTAAACCCCTGCTTTCTTCTCTGCTTTCACAGGGAGTGGAAAGTGAGGGTTTAAATCTTAAATGGCTCTTGACCTATACAAACCAGTTTAGTTCATGAACTGGCACACTGGTTCGTGTAGGATTGTGGTTCAGCCACAAACCGAACCGCAAAAATGATGTTTGTGCCCTTCCCTAATGCTTGTGGCCATGACAAGGTCCACTGGGACAGAGTCCCAAAATTTAAAATTACTCATTGAGTAACAAAGCATTTCCTTTTGTCTGTCATGAACCTGTTTCCCACCTACATCACTGGATGCCCCCGAGTTGTAGTATTATGGGAGAGGGAGAAATCATTTTATAAACCTTATGTCTCCCCATAGCTGTCTCTTTTTCTCATATGAAAGGTGTTCCAATCCCTCAATCATCTTGGTTCCCCTCCTTTGTACTTTTCCAGCTCTGCGATTTCTCATTGAGAGCCAGTTTGGTGTAGTGGTTAAGTGCCTGGACTCTAATCTGGGAGAACCGGGTTTGATTCCCCACTCCTCCACTTGCACCTGGCTGGATGACCCTGGGCAAGCCGTAGCTCTAGCACAGCTGTTCTTGAAAAAGAGCAGTCTCTGCCAGAGTTGTCTCAGCCCCACCTACCTCACAGGGTGTCTGTTGTGGGGAGGGAAAGGGAAAGGAGTTTTTAAGCCGCTCTGAGACACCTTTGGGTAGTGAAGGGCGGGGTATAAATCCAATCTCTTTTTCTTCTTCTTGAGAGATGGCAATCAAAACTGCACAAAGTATTCCAAATGAAGGAATTTGCCTTTTTCCACTGCTGCCGCACACTGGGTCGACATTTCCATTGAATTTTCCACTACAACCCCAAGATCTCTTTCAATCTATTTGTTTGAGAACACTCATCTAGTATCACAAGACACACTACTGGTTCTGTTCTTCTATCACCCCTCCAAGATGATCAGGCTGTAGTTCATTTTTTGCAAATATCTTCTTCACACAGGTATGAGGCACAACAGCTTCATATACTCATGGAACATTTATAAAACTCTGACTGGCTTTCCACTCATCCAGAGCAGCAAAGTTTAAAGCCATATAAAATATACTGAAAATGCTCCTGTGACAAGCAAACAAACAAAAGGCAGCAGAACTGCACTGAAGACTTGAAGAAAATGAACATGCTTTTGCTGTAAAAATTGGGTATAAGGGCTCTGATTAGAAGGATATTCTTTTAAGCTATCCATGCACTGTAGCAACACCTGTGAAAAAATGTTCACTAAAAAGAGCAGATGAGTGTTTGTTCTTTACAAAAAAAAGTTTTCATGAACAGCTAGATTCCCAGGATAAACCAAAATTGAACCATCTTCATCTTTGTATGGCATGGCTTCTTCTCCCATCTTCATTTCCAAAGGATGGGAAAGAGGATATTAATTGGCAACCACAAAATAAACTAACATTTCCTGGAGAAAATGGGTGCACTCTACATGTCTAGAAGCTTTCATGAAGATGCCAATATTAGAATGATGCAAAGATCTCACTGACATTTACTTCCAATCTGCCTTTTCAACATGCCTTCATTAGACAGCTACTGAAAATGTTTATTAGTCCCACTGGCTTCTCTACATTCATCATAAAATTTTATTAGAACCCATTGTCCTTAGAGTAACCATTTCATCACCCCAAGAGCTACATGCCACTTGCCTGGCACAGAACACACATTAAAAATCAGTGCCAGCAGTCTGAGGCTTGAGGGTACTATGTCTTCCCTGTCACAATTAATACCACTATTATGCTAATCCATCTGCAACACTCACTCTCCCATTTGTTTTCCTAGACAGAAGAACCAGTTTATTAAAATATCCCTGGTACAAATTCTAGTCTGGCAATGCAGGAGGATCCAGTTGTACATATTAACTCATTTAGTCCAGGGACTCTCACAAACTTATGGACAGCAAATATGTCGATTAAATAATGTAGAAAAACAGAACATTTCCTTTGTGCATTTGCAAAAATACATTATAGCTATGCAGATGTCAGAGATATCCAAAAAGCTGCAAATTAATGCTGTAATCCATCAGATTTATTCCTGCCTGAGGTTCTGTAATCAGATGAACAGTGTCAGGTAGCAGAGAAATATTGTCAAAACTTATCTTAAGAGCAGTTTTAAACAATTTTATCCTGGAGTTCCAAGCACTTCTCCCACACTTTTCTCTTCCTTGGTGGCTTCCTCACTGAAAAGGGCAAAGTTCTGACCTATTAAAAGTCTACCTCAGGGTGGGAAGGCCAAAGTAATTTAAACAAAGGGAGATCAAAGGTTTCCAGGTGCACAAAGGAAAAGCCAAAACAGCCTTTAGCTCATTGAAGTCTCCAGAATGCTCAAACATTTAGATATTTATCCTTTTATAGATAAACCAGTCTTGTCCCAGAACCTAAAAGGAATGCATGGCCTAACTGTCCCCCAACAGTAGATGAAACAGTATCTCTGCGTTTGGATGGTACCATTTCAGGCAGATTTTCACATGATGGAAATCTCAGTGGAGGAGGAGCTGCTAGCAGTATTCCAGCATGGAAAGCTAGAACAGCGGGGTGAAGAAAACTGTGTGAAAATCTTTTATCTTCATGACGGAGTAATTCAACGTTGATCCTCGCTTGCAGACTTAAGCGGTGCAGTCGAGGCACAGGAGGAAAAAGAATCGGATCACGCAGGGCGAAATGAGAGCTCTGGACGAGTGCGTGTGTGGGGGGGGGGGTATGCGTGCTTTCACTGCCCATGTACCTGAATCCTCCCCGAGTCTTAACTTTCCTTCCCGGATACACAAACGCCCAACAGAAACGGCACTACTGAGGGGCTGGCCGAGAAGAAGAAGCTGAAGAGATTAGTTCGAGAGGGGACCAGGGAGAGGGAGAAGGAGAGAGAGGGCGACTGGCCCTGTCGCCCCCCGGGGCGCCGTACCTTTGCTCTGTTTACACTGCAACGCCGTCGAAAACAGGGGGGAAGCCGGTCGCGCTCACTTACCCGGTCAGACGGCGGCTCACTTGCCCGTTGCCGTCTGGCGGCGCGAAAAGGCCACTCCCACCACGGTGGTCGTCCACCCCCACCCCCCAGAGAGCCGAACTGGAGGCTGCCGATTCCCACCACCAACCTGAGGCAGGCAGGAGCTCGCGAGGGGGCGGGGCGGAGAAATCCTCCCGCTGAGGGGCTGGGGCGCTTCACGCGGCGGTGGCTCCGCCCCTGGGAGGCTCTTGGCGAAGGGAGGCGGAGACCGGTCGGAGGCTCGGCTGGAAGAGAAGAAGGGCGGGGCTGGGGGCAGGCTGTGGCTTTGGGGGCGACTGTTGGTCGAGCCTTCTGAAGAGGCAGAAACCCAACAGGGACAGTTTTCTGCTCACTGTAGGCATGTGACATAAACTCGTAAGAGAGGCCCTTATCGGATCACACCAGTGGTTCATGTAATCCAGTATCCTGTTTCACACAGTGACCAACCTGTTGCCCTGGAGGGGATACAAACAGGGCAAAAAGGCTGAGGCTCTACGATGTTGCTTCCTAGCTGTGGTATGCAGAAGATTACTGCCTCTGGATTTGGAGGTTCCGTTTACTCATTCTGGCTAGCAGCCACTGATGCTGTATAAATCTGTCTAATCCCCTTTTAAAGCCATTCACCCATATGGCCCTCACCACGTTCACTAGCAGTGTTCTATAATTTCATTACGCGCTGAGCGGGAAAACTCCTTTTGTCTGTCCTAACTCTATTGCCCATCAGATTCACCGTCTGCCCCCAAGTGGTTTTGTTATATGAGAGGAAGGAAAAGCTCTCACTGTATCTATCTCATGTAATAATTTGTTAGTGCCCCCGGACAAAATGGCTGCTTTGGAAGGTGGAGTGTATGGCATTATGACTTGATGAGGTCCCTCCCCTCCCCAGGCTCCACACCTCACATCTCCAAGTATTTCTCAAACTAGAACTGGCAACCCTACTTAGGGCACCTGGATCCATGTTCCTTTCCAGTCTCTAAATACAAGTCCAGATGCTTAGGGCAGTTGCCATTTTGCTCACACCCACACACACACACAGAGAGAGAGAGAGGATACTCCTTATGTGAACAATGAAAACTACAAAATAGGGCCAGATGCAGAGAAAGTCGGGGCTCTGCCTACTTGAGGCTTCCCCAAGTATGCAGAAAAATATGATTTTGTAAATTAACTGAAAGGAAAGGAAACAAAACCCTTTAAAATGGCCTATTAAGGACTGAAAATACCCCAGAAAGAATGGAATGCTGAGAGCAACTGAGTGACTGTTCAAAGAAGGGGGGAGGGGATCAGACTGCTTAAGCCTTTAAGAAGGCTGAGAGAAGAAGGGGTAGGGGGTGAGTGCACGTCCAAAACTTATTTCCCCTTTTTGCGATTCCTCATTCCCCCCCCCCCAGCTTTACAAAGTAAATGGTCTCCCCCCCATTTTTTGTTTTGTCAGGGATGTAACCGAGCATAGGATTAAAGTCTGCCGCTCTTAACCATTACACCACACTCCCCTCCCCAAGGGATTCTTCTGCTTATATCAGCTGTCTGGTGTACAGAAATTCTTTTGATAAAGCTTTCCCCATCACTGCATCTACATGTTGGCAAAAACTGCATCCGCTGAATCTTTGCCTGTTATCCATCACTTTGTGGAACCTTGCTAGAAATAAAAAGGCCCCAGCCATGCATAGAATCCCCATTTTTTCCTTTGAAGACTTGACCAGGAGTGTGGATGAAACAGAGTAGCAAACTTACAAGATAAGCAGAGCTGTTCTTTAGGGATTAATAAAAAGAGGGAAAGTAACTACAAGCATAGAAGAAATGTGAGGGGAGTTTTGTACAGCTTCACATGTTGCTATGCTAATATGGTATACTTGTGTGTAATGAACATTATCAGAACCATGTGGAATCCTACACTTACTTCGATGGGAATGATTTCCCCCCCTGCTTGACTATTCATATCTGGCTCAAGCTGCAATCCAAAGCACACTTACTAAACAGTTTGTGCCAATGAACTCAATCCTTACTGGATTGCACCGCATGACACTCAGTGAACTGAACACTTTGGCACTAAAATTAACTCCTGATGTCTCATAACCTAAAGAAGAGCAAGTGTGCCCTTAAGCCAACTTCACTCATCATATCTCAGCAAAGGTGACTCTGACTCATACTGTACCTTAAAAACTACCATAATATTCTAGTATACACAGCAGCGGGAGTAGGGGGTGTGTTTAGGGTGCTTGGTGGCGGGTTTTCTGAATGCATATAACCCGGCCTGTGAGCCGGTTCGTTGTCTCTTGTTCCTGACTAAATAAAGGTATGCTTAGCTGCAATCACTCTCCGTCTGCATACTTTTCAAGAACCATGTGGAATCCTACACTTACTTCGATGGGAATGATTTCCCCCCCTGCTTGACTATTCATATCTGGCTCAAGCTGCAATCCAAAGCACACTTACTAAACAGTTTGTGCCAATGAACTCAATCCTTACTGGATTGCACCGCATGACACTCAGTGAACTGAACACTTTGGCACTAAAATTAACTCCTGATGTCTCATAACCTAAAGAAGAGCAAGTGTGCCCTTAAGCCAACTTCACTCATCATATCTCAGCAAAGGTGACTCTGACTCATACTGTACCTTAAAAACTACCATAATATTCTAGTATACACAGCAGTGAAACTTTAGTGACACCTGAGACTTTCAAAGCAACCCAGGCTATTGGGATGTATTATTGTTTCACCTGGAAATAGTATGTGCATGGTTTGCTGGAAAACTATAGTATGGTGGTCAAGCTGATAAGGTATGTTGTTAGTCGGTAAGGATAACACTGGCTAGGAATAACCCAAGTCCTGAAAATTCATGTAACAAAGTTGGCATGAAATGTCAGTAATGAAGAGAGGCCTGAGAAGGGCACAGTCTAAGGTCAGAAACCCAAGATTTCAGGCTTAGTTGCTCGTAACACTCTGATAGGGACAACTTTTGGATCATAATGGCATGCAGCAGATCTGGGCAAGGTCCATTCTAACCCATAATTTCAGGAAAACTAGAACTGGTATTTGGTTTCCTTATCCATGCTGTTTCCCACTGATGGATGTCTCATGGAAAAGTAATTCTGTCAAAGTTCCTAGAGAAAAGGATTTTACAAAAATCCAACATGTGTTGGACCCAATAGCCCGGTGATGGTGTCCAATAATCCAATTTCCCTTTTTAAGTAGCAATGAAAATGTGAGCTTATTCTTTTGAAAACTGGCTTTGTATCTGGCTAATTCACTGTTTGTCTGCAGTATAGTTTACATTTCTGTTGTTGCTTTATGTTCAGCCCCCAAAAAATTGTTTCCCAAAATAGGTATACAGCTAAATCAGACAAGCTGAAAGTGCAAAATCATCTGTTGGAAACTATTTCTTTTATAAACCACTGCATTTTTAACTGTGTCCCAGCTGCTTGTCATTGGAATGTGAATAATTAATCCCACATTAGTATCTAATATGCTGATTTATTGATTTACACTGTGTAATCCACCTTGAGTCTCAGTGGGAAAGTCAGACTATAAATACCACAAATAAATAAATAGTAAATATAGAAATATTTCAGTAACTTCCTGGCTTGATTACTGAAGTATGTTTTACATGGGGCTGCCCTTGGACCTCTCAAACACTTCAGTTGGTGTTGAATGTAGTCACCTCATCTGCCTCTTGTTCATTGTGGGGGCACATATTATTTATTTATTTGGATTTGTACCCCACCCTCCCTGCCATAGCAGGTACAATCTTGTGTCCATCCAACCAGTCTTGTGTCAGCTCACTACTTACATGCTTTTGAGCAAAATTAAAGCACATATGTACTTTTTTCTCATTAAGGTTCATAATTCTCATTTACATGCCCCCCCCATTGTTCTATATGTTGGGAATTCTAGGCTTTTCTACCTTATTTTTCTACTTTAATCATGTTTGTGTTCTTAGACTTTCTAATACAATCAGCTTGTTTGAATGTGACATATAAGCATGCTGTTAAGAGCCTGTCATTTTTAATTTATGTGTAACTAGCAGTAAAGCCCGTTGTGGAAATAAATACAACGGGATGGAATCAAATCTCCTTTCAGGGTTTATTTACATTACTTGAGGCTCAGCTACAAAGTAGTTACCCTCATTGGGGGGAAGTCTCTAACCTTTGGGGTGTGAAGTTGAGAGCCAGTTTGTATATTGACGCCATTCACCCAACGCATTTACTCTATTAAATTCTTTATTTTCTGTTAAATAAACCTTTGTTAGGCGGGCATTTTAGAATGTTCATATAGAATGTTCTTACTCAATTATATATAAGGAGAGATGGTTCTGTGGGAAAGCTCTGTATGGTAAAAGAGAAGCCTCAAACCTGCCAAGGTAACCTGTCTGGAGAAAGGGGAATCAAATCTCCTTTCAGGGTTTATTTACATTACTTGAGGCTCACCTACAAAGTAGTTACTCTCATTGGAGGAAAGTCTCTAACCTTTGGGGTGTGACATTGAGAGCCAGTTTGTATATAGATGCCATTCACCCAACGCATTTACTCTATTAAATTCTTTATTTTCTGTTAAATAAACCTTTGTTGTTCATCTTCATCTGTGACTTGTTTGTCTATTCAAATATCTAGCACAAAGTAATTTCTATTTACCTCACAAATAATTACAGCCTTGGTCTGGCAGGTTTCCAAATAAGAGACCTTTAGAGAGCACATAGCTTACACACTACCAAACTTTTTTTTAATGCTTGTGTCCCCCTTTTTGTAGGTGGTAGAGCCCTGGTTAGGGATAAGATGAATATGTATAGTGAAATATACAGATGTTTTAAAGGCTTGGATGCAAGATGCTTCTTCTCTAGAAGCCAATTGGGAGAAATAGTCACTATGAAATAGAAATGCAGGTAAGTGGCACTGATATATTCTTTAAGACAAAGGTCTTAAAATGTATGCCTGAAAATTAACAGCAGAAATGGTCCCAACACATGATTAACACCAGTGTTCCCTCTAAGCTGTGATAGAGTGAGCTAGCTCACAGTTTTTAGCCTCTGGCTCACACATTTTTGTCTTGGCTCAGGAAGGATGGCTCTAGAGCAAACTAATTTATGCAGTCGCCAAATCGGTTGCTCACAACTTCAATGCCAGTAGCTCA